TTGCCTGTGGCTGACTCAAGAACACTCCAACAGGCGAAGCATGACCTCGTAGTAAACTCGGCCTATTTCTCAACGTCTTCTGCTCAAGTCCGACACCATTCCACATTCCTGAACAAGGGTTTTCCTCCGGGCTGTAGTCCTCTAAGCGAAGGAAATCAATCTGTTCTGATACCGCATGGCTGGCAAAGACAAGAAGATGTCATCTCAAGTGACCATTCCGGCCTATTATATCCTTCCCTCGTAGGCAAAGTGAGACACTCTTTGTAGCAGACGAACACTAGGCGTATCACCGCATGTTTTTTCAGCACATCTAGTCCATGTTTGTGGCCGTGCAAAAATAGTATTTATTTAGTTACCCTTAGGGCTCCACTTGACTGAACTTCCATTCACTACTTTTTTCCGCAAAAACAAGGAAAGCAACACTGTCAGCTGAAAGAGATTGTAGAAAAAATGTGTGGAAAAACGTGGCCAGTTTTTGCATGCTCCTCCCTTATACATTTTCGTCACAGCTTTTGCTCTCTAGCATAACCCTTAATAATTATTAGTCACGGCGGCTTCACTCGCTGTCCAGCAAACTGTTAATACCGGACAAACTCAGGCAAATTGGCACTAGCAGTGTTCATGAAGACCTGTGTTATCGAACAGAAGTACAACATAGATGTCACTGAGGTACCGGAATATCTTCTCAGGAATAGATAATAAATATTATTCAGTCCAAAGGTTGAAGAAAGTCAGCGAAAGAGTCTGAGGTGCTCTCATAGGTAAATTAGTTGAGCCAAAAGTGTAAGAAGCCCATGAAAGCCTATTTGAAACTGAGCTGCTGTTCAATGTAAAGTTCCCTCTTATGACTCCACTCTTGGGTTCCGAAGGCCTCAAATATCGTACGTAATAGCAGGAAGCAAATTCATATCTTCTACCAAAACTGCCAAATATTAGGGCGCAAAAATCGTACTCGTCTTCCATTTTTCTTCTTTTCCTTCTCTTCAATAAACAGTCGCAACTACAACAAGTACGAGGTTGACCATCAGAATAACGTCACCAACTACACCAAACTACCAACAGCTACAACTCTGAAGAAAACCACTTACAACAAATCTACTAAATACTACAATTACAGAAGTAATCACACCAACAGCTCGGCCAACTCCTCCAACCAGAGAACCATCCACTACAACAACTCGATCAACAGAGCCAGATACTACAACGACTTCACCAACTACCACGACTACAGAGCCAACGACTGCAACTACTATACCAAGTACTACAACTACAGAAGCGACCAGGACAACAACAAGTTTTGAATACACGACAATGTCTACAATTGATAGTTAGTATTATACATCATTGCATACTGAAGGGTGACTTTCATAAACTTGTAAGTGCTTGTTTGCATCGAAAAGAAAAAGTAGACACGATCAAGGGATCTTTGAAACAAATTTCAAAAAAGAAAAGAGACGTTACTGTTGCAGCTACCTTCCGCCGGCAGAGTCCAGAGCCTACACCAACTGGTCTACCAGTGGCGAGCATTGAAAATACTGGATGCACATGCGTTCCAGAGACTGTTTGGCTAGATGTGTTCCTTCTGATGGACGCTAGTTTGTCCATGACTTCTGATGGAATAGCTTCGGTAATTATGTTCGATTTAAGACACATTTAAAACAAAACAACAGGACAAATATGCTTCTCCACGAGGTGCCCGACAATAGGCCCCTTAGCGCGTCAACAAGACAGGGTCAGCGGACGAGTTGCAGCGCTTATTGTAGTGACTTCGCATCAAACTAAGTAGATTGTATCATTGTACGTCCTGAGAGCACAAGACGGTTTCATGAAATATCAAGGGTGACCTATTCATTGTGACAATATAAGGTAGTTTACAATTTTTCATATTTACTTCCCTTCCGTTCGATGTTCTTAATTCGTAGTGATCTCCATTATATCATACTATGCGTTAAACTTTCAAAAAAGTGCTGCTCTCGAAGTTAAATCCGTTACGTTTCTTGAATTGATATTCCCCTACCTTCTACAAGGGAAAGGGACATTTGTTGTATATTTTAATAGTTTTTTCGAATCCATTTGATAAAGGCCAAAACGGGGTTTGTTTCCTTAACTTGAAGAAAATATTGCTGAATATCACTGACGCCTTCTGAAATATGGAGCGAATTAAACTCCTCAGAACGAAGTTGTAGAGGTAAACTTCAGTGGCATGGAAGCAGCGACTCCGACCTGAGAACAAAAGATGCCCAGATAGGCCGAGAAAGCAGAGATAAAAATGAAGCCTCATATCGAAGGCAAATATCGGGATGAGGCGAGCAATCCAATCCCTTCCATCACCTTTGTGCGTGATTTCGCACCCAGAGATATGATACCACGCTCGTAGCTCGAAACAGCGCGATCTTAAATAAAGTACATAAACTGACGTATGCGCCAAACGAGAAGTGACCTTTAATAGCGAAAAACAACCATTATTTACTTATTTCTATAGGTCCAGTGGACGCGCTTGGTAGGTATACAGCATATGACTGAAATAAAAATGGGAGAAATAGTGAAAAAAAAAACTTCTGAAAGTTTTCGATTATTACCAATCTCGAGTAAATTCCAATTTACTGTAAAGTGCTTACAACTATAGAAGCGATCGAGAGCATGATGAATGATGTTGACTGGACTCAATACTACTTTTGCTGGTTATCTTCTAGAGTTGCTAAACCTATTACAGGGCCTGAGTATGGAATCAGTCAATCACTGTCTACTGGAACAACTCTATCCATTTTTCTTCAAATTTGACGAATTTCCGCACATACTCCCGCCTCTTTTTTGCCGAGCACTTCATTCTTTTCGACAACAAACTGATGGTGCTCAGGGCGAGGCTACCGAAATTTTCCTTTTTTTAAAGCATGCAAGCTCTCGAAAGCACTCCTGCACACTTGAGGCACAAAGCTTTGCATCGCTCTACTGCCAGAGCACGAGCTCAGTGCCGTGCAGTGCCACGCGTGTGGATACCCATACCATCTAGCATTTAGCTGCATGCGTTCGCATCACCACTTCTTGAATCCTATGCTGTAGTTCCACCTGGCTTACGAACTACCATAACCAAGCTTCCGCCGTATTTCACGGATGGCACTTCATAATTTCGCCCGTCACCGCCGAGCATTCTAAATTCCTTCGCCGCTCCAGATGATGTTGGAGTCTTGCAGGGATCTCCCGTTCAGGTGTGCGCAGTCCCATTCCTTCCTCTACCACTTCCAAGTCGGACAACTTCACAGATTCAACAAGAGGTTGAAGGAAGCGATCACGCTGGCTTCCACGCTGGATTTGCTACCCTCGCGTTATCAATCGATAAGGTGTGAGGCAGTAATTGTTGGACGAGTGTAAGCCCATGGAAGATATGATACGATGAGATAAGAAGGTGCGGCTGCTTGATAAGAGGTGCACTCCAGAATGAAAACGGGACGATAACGATAACGGTATCATATCTAGCACGCTCTTATCGCACCCCTTTCCACATCGATAAGTCTTGGTTTTTGCTAACCGGAAGTGGATTTCGGCGCCTTATCACTCCGTTGATAAGGCGCCACTGCC